GCTAGATGGGCCTGGGATTTAGCTCAGTGATTCCACTGCCTGCCTCGAAAGCGCAAAGTCCTCAGTTTGATCTCAGGTACAAAACAAAAAACAACCATATAGCTAGGTATGGTGGTGCATATCTGTAATCCTAGTAATCTAGGAGGCTGAGGTAAGAGGATCACAAGTTCAAGCCCAGTCCGGACAACTCAGTAATTCAGCAAGACCCTGCCTCAAAATAAAAAAAAAGGCTAGAGAGGTAGCTCAGTGCAAAGGCCCCAGTTTCAATTCTCAGTACTATTAAATAAGTAAATCTAGGGCTGGGGACTTAGCTCAGTGGTTTCGCTGCCTGCTGTGCATGTGCAAGGACCCAAGTTCGATCCCCGGTACCAAAAAAAAAAAAAAAGTAAATCTCAGAAGTGACAGGCAAGGCCTCAACTTCCATGAATCCTCAGTGTTCCACTCCCTATCTATCCTCTCCTCTCCATTAACAGTTAAATTTTGGTTCAGATGACTTGCTGAGTGACAGCCACACTCTATCTGCCCCTACCCAGGCGAAGTGACCAAAGACACAAAATCCTGTATCTTATTTTCATCACACAAAAGTATGAAGAGCAGCAACTACTTCCTTGGCTCTTTGTGAGGATGAAATGTGTCAATATAAATAAAACAGTACCTGTATAAAGAACTCACATTATCCTGTTGATACCTATGATGATACAAACTATGCTTTTGTTTTAAAACTTCTATAAGCCCTTTAAGATACACAAATGATTTATTTGGCTATGTAAACTGCAAACTATGGTGATCCTATTTCTGTAGGTTTTTAAGTTGGAGAGAGAGCTAGAGTCTCCCAAAATAACAAATTATTTTGAATATTTTGGTTTAGTTTCTCGTTAAAAAAAAAATTTGGAGCCAGGGATTTAGCTCAGTGGTTCTGGCGCCTGCCTCAAAAGCACAAGGTCCCAAGTTCGATCCCCGGTACCAAAAAAATAAAAGAAGTTGGAGTTCCTACAGAATTAGTATAGAATTCAACTTGAATTGACTGGAGGTTGGCTCTCGATTGTAGCTTTTGGTATTTTTATGTAAATATATTATAAAGACATATTGGGCCAGAGATTTAACTCAGTGGTTCCACCACTTGCCTCAAAAGTGAAGGTCCTGAGTTCCATCCCTGATACAAAAAATAAATAAAGAAATACATACACATATACACACATATAAAAAAGAATAGCTTTGTGGGCTCAGTGGCAGAGCATATGCTTAGCATGCATGAGGCCTGAGGTTCAATCCTCAGCATACCACACCACACACTCATGCACACACACATAATTATTTTAAAATTCTAATTTTATCAAATTATATAATAACATGTATCAATAAGGGATATACCTTTTTGGATTGGTGTTTACCAAACATAAGATATCCTAATAGTATACTAATATTTATAGTTTGGTTTTGGAAAACCTTACAAACTAACAAGCATACTAACAAATTCTGTTCAAAAAATACAAGCATGATTTTTAAAGTAAAATATATCATGTAAGAGTTTTGCTGTTAGCACATGAGATAAAGAAAGCATATTTTGTTGTCATGAGCTGAACCACACACACTGATTCAACATTCATTCATCAGGGGGGAAAAACCCCAAATTAAATGAGTTGCTCTTATTTACATGTTTACTAAGAGAAAAACACACTAAGCATACTGAGGAACCCAGATCATCATAATCTGACAGTGAAATCAGATAGATGAAATATAATGTAACAGAAATAAAAATTTTCTTTCTCCATAAGACCAACACTAGGGATACAAATAAAAAATGCAAATATAGAGGCTGCCAGATCAATCGTCTATATAAATACCTTCCAAAATTTTATTTCAGAGGCAGGGATAAGGGATTTAGGGAAGACATCTTTGAATCAACATTTTACCTTCAATTCTTTGCTTCACTGACTTCTGACAGTTTGGCAAATTGGGGGTCATCACATTTAAAAGAAATGCTGCCAAAGCTTGTAAATGCAATCTAAGAAGGTAATGTAAATTCCTAATGCCTGGACAGTTTTCTGTAGTTCCCAGAATTCTACCTCAAAAAGTTATCAGATTTAAAATTTAAGCCTTTACATGGTGTAATTTGCAAAAGCATTACTCAAATTGAGATTAACGTAACACTGAAAACTTTATACCAAAAACTCAAGTCTTACATACTATTATTTGGGCTGAGTATGTGTATGTGCTTGGGGTGGGAGGTTGTGTGGGGAGTACAAGGATTTAGAAAATTTAGAAAAATTTTCAGTCTCATTTTAACTCACAGGTTCCTCATCAAGAGCCCACCTCTTTGAAACTGGCTGCTGCTGGGCACCAAGATGTTCCATTTAAAAACGGGTCTCCACTTCTCATCCTCCCCCTGCCATAGTATAAAAATGTGCCACTTTATACTCACAGTTGACTAGAGATCCATTCTCAGTCAAGTAAGTATTCTACACCTTTGATAGGTCCCAGATTTTAGCCTGGGGAAAGTGGGGGCCACAGGTCCTAACTGCTTCCTTTTTGTCCAACACAACTTTTGTGATTGTTTTCCAACAAAGACTATTTTTCTTGACAATATTACAACTTATATGCTTGAATACTCAAATACTATGTATGCCACAGAGCAAAACCTAAAGTAAGAAACATTAATTTAGAAAGAACAAAAACAAGAAAATGTAAAACTAGATGCTTTGACTTTTTTTTGGTACCGGGGATCAAACTCAGGACCTTGTGCTTGCCAGGCAGGCGTGGCGCTGCTGAGCTACATCCCTGGCTATTACTTAGTTTTGTTTTTGCTTTGTGAGACAAGGTCTTGCTATATGGTTTAGGCTGGCCTTAAACTCACTATGTAGCCCAGGCAATTTTCCTGCCTCTGCCTCCCAAGTGCTGGGATTACAAGCATGTACCACCATGCCTGGCTAGTTTTGTTTTTTTTTTTTTCCTGTACTGGGGATTGAACTCAGGACCTTGTGCTTGCCAGGCAGGTGGCGGTAGCACCACTGAGCTAAATCCCCGGCCCATCCAGCTAGTTTTAAAGAGGCCCAAACTCCCTGGTTTTAACATTCAAATTTGACTCTAGTTACAAGGGGAAAAAAAAAAAAGAATCCACAAAAATGTTCAAATTTCTGGATACATTGCCCTCCTTCATGTCATGTTTACATAACCTTTAAAATACCACTGTAGAAAAGAATTAGAATGAAAAGAGAGCAGTATGTTTTCTTAATCTCAACCAAAAATCTGATATGAAAATTCAAAGAAGTATTAGGAACTGGCTTTTTTTAGAAACCACTGAGCTAAATCCCTGGCCCTAGAATAGCTTTTAAACATCAACTTTGAGCATCTTTTTTTAAAACAAGTAGTTATTCTTGTCTCACTATGTAAAATTTTTCAGAGTACTCTGAGTGAAATTTGGAATGTTGACA